AAATTTTTTTTTTTTTTTTTTTTTTGGTCTTTTTGAGAATTTTATATAAAATCCCTATAGGGTGGAAGTTCAGTGGTATTAAGTCATGGTTTTCTTTATGTATTTATTTATAGTATGCACATGTGTGAGCATGCATGCTACATGGCAGGTATTTGACAACTTGTGGGGAATTCTCTTCTTCCACCCTGTGGGTCCTGGGGCTCAAACTCAGTTTTTAGGCTTGGTGGCCAACTCCTTTACCCAATGAGCCATCTTGCCAGTCCCTGAGATTCTTTTCTGAAGCTTGGTCAAGAGTCCCAGTGTGCTGGATGGCTTTAGTGTTAATTTGACACACCTGGGTAGAGGGACCCTCAACTGAGGAATTTTCTCCATTGAAGTGGCCTGTGCCCATGTCCTTGGGGTATTTTCTTGATTACTGAGTGATGTGGGAGGGCCCAGCCCACTGGGCAGTGCTACACCTGGGCAAGTGGTCCTGTGCAAGCTGAGCCACAGGCCAGAGGAGCAAACCAGTAAGCAGCGTTCCTCCATGGCCTGTGCTCCAGCTCCGGCCTCAGCTTCCCTTGACTGTGCTGTAAGCCAAATAACCCCTTCCCAGTTGATTCTGGTCAGTGTTTTTATCAGCAATAGAGGGTAAATAAGACACCCAGCTTCACCCAAAGAATGGTCTCTGAAAAGGAACCTCTTGGGCTACTGCCCATGACACCACTAACAATTTTAAGTGAACTAAAAAAGTATTTAAATTCATAATACATATTTAAACTGTGCTTTTGGAGGATGCTGAAAAATTCAGGTTTAACTGGCTAATGCAGGGAAGGAAGCAAGCATTTATTCTGTCTTTATTTGAGACAGTTTCACCTGCCTCAGCCTCCTGAGTGCTGGGATTATAGTCTACACAAATATGTCTGCTTAGTAGCCTGCCTGTCTGTACAAAACGTACTAAAACCAAAAGTGCCAAGAGGATCAGGGAACTTTCTCGTTATAGAAATATTTTTATTGTGTCGGGTGTGGTGGCCCATGCCTTTAGTCCCATCCTGGAAGGCAAGATGTCTGTGAGTTCGAGGCCATCCTGGTCCGTTATAGGGCGTTCCAGGCCAGCCAGGGCTACATAGTAAGACCGATCTCTGCTTAATTCCAAGCACACACATGAGAATGTCCGATATCCACAGTGTCCAGTTCCATAAAACAGCTCTGGAATCTATGCACTTGCGCCAACACGAAGGTCAGCCAACCTCCCATCTCCCCTCCAGACTCGCAGCTCCGCCCACACGACTGCGCCGGCCTGCAGGGCAGGCACACTTCTGCCCCTCCCTGCCTACGTGCGGCGTCGCTAAACGTCCATGGCGGCGGCAGAGGGCGGCGTGGGCCCCGCCCTCCGGGAGCCTCGAGTGTCCAATCCCAACCTTACAGAACCGGCCAGGCCGCGGCCTTCGCGCCAGTCGCCCTGCAGGCGCCCCGGCCGTCCTCCTCCGCACGGCCCGTGGTCTCCCAGACCCTACACCTGGCCTAGCCGCCTCCAAGAGCGCTGGAAAGGGAGACGGACTGGAGGAGTGCCCCGGGCCTTGGCGGTGGGCGGGCAGATAAGACCCGCCCCCGCTCTCCTATTGGCTCCTGCGACGCACCTGCAACTTCCTGGAACACTCATTGGCCGAGGCGGGGGGGCGGAGGAGTGGGCGGGACACACCGCCCTCTCGCTCTTATTGGTCTAGAGGTGTGGCTCGCCCCGTATCGGCGTTCTCATTGGTTTAGTACAGCCTCTGGGGCGGGGCCTCCCCGGAGCGTTGACAACAAAGGGTCACTGACGGCTGCCGGCAGAATCCGCGTCTCCAGTGCTCGGCTCCTCAGTGCACTGACCTGCCGCGCTCCAGATGAAGTGTGAGCACTGCACCCGGAAGGTAGGTTCTGGCCACCGGAGCTGGGCGGAGGGCGAGACCGAGAGTCCAGGCTGGGGGCTGGAGGCCTGGGGCGGGCGGGACGGACCAGCGCCACCAGCGCGGCCCCTGTCTGCCTGACAGCCGGCCGAGGACCTGGTGGTGGCTGCTAGGGCCTAGCGCACTCCCGGGACCCGGGGAAGCCTCTGGTCCGGGGCCCGCGCTCAGTCCTGGCACCTGTCACAGCGGTCGGATCGGCCAGCACTGCTCTGAGCGCCTCTGACACTTGTAACTTGCACACTTGCGGGAGGGAAGCGAGTAGAGGGAATGAAGGGCAGGTCCTGCTCCGCTGAGGGACCGCGGTGACAGACAGCCGCCGGCTTCCCCGACGGTCGTAGCCATGAGACGCGTGTGCAAGGATCCTATAAATACTTTTAACATCATATGGGAGACACCTTTTCAGGGACCCACGTCTAATTCCTTTTAAAATATATTTCTATTTTATGTGTGTTGAATGTATTGCCTGAATGTATGCAAGTGCACCCGTGTCATGCAGTGCCTGCAGAGGTCAGAAGAGGGCGTTGGATTCGCCTGGAACTGGAGTTACCGACGGTTGTTAGCCGCCCTGTGGGTGCTAGGAATCGAACCTGGGTCCTCTGCAAGAACGGCCAGTGCTCTAACAGCTGAGCCATCTCTCCAGCCCCAGCCCACGTGTAATTCTTGATTTTTTTTTTTTTTGGTCTTTTTGAGACAGGGTCTCCCTGTAGCCCCAGCTGTCCTGGAACTCACTATGTAGACCAGGCTGGCCTCAAACTCACAAAGATCTTCCTGCCTCTGCCTCCCAAGTGCTGGGATTAAAGGCTTGCGCCACCACGCCTGGCTCTTGTTTCATTTTTTAACAGAGCTGAATCTAAATGTACCCATGTCTAGGTGGTCAGATATTGATTAGGGCCATATCACTTCTGTCACTGAATGCAAACAAGATGGAGAAGAGGGAGAGAGAAAGAATGAATCAGTCAGCATGGGTTATTTTATTTCTGTAGAAATGGTTTCTGGAAGTAAGGTTAATTCATCAGGGTATATGTCGTTTGTAATGGAAATTAATCACATTAAAAGTGATTCTTGGCCAGGCATGATGACAGAAACCTTTAGTCTCAGCACTCTGGAGGACAAAGGCAGGTGGATCTCTGTGAGTTCAAGGGCAGCCTGGTCTAATACTGAGTTCCAGGCCAGCTGGGACTACATGGAGACCCTGTCTCCAAAAGACCCCCCAAAATAAAAGTGATTCTTAACTGGATTGTGATGGTGCATACCTGTGATCCCAGTGGTTGAGAAACTGAGACAAAGTATGGAGTTCAAGGTCAGACTATGCGACTTACTAAGACCGGTTCTAGGGTTCTAGTTTATTTCTCCGTGTGGTGACAAAAGACACGAATCAGTACCAACTTGGGAGGAAAGGGTTTATTCAGCTTACATCTCCCGGATCGCAGTTCATCAGGGAGCCCAAGGTAGGAACTCAAAGCAGGAACCTGGAGGCAGGAACTGAAGCACAGGCCCTGGAGGAACGCTGCTTACTGGCCTGCTCCCTGGCCCCTGCTCAGCCTGCTTTCTTATACAACAGAGGCCCATCTGCCCAGGGATGGCACCACCCACAAGTGGACTGGGCCCTCCCATATCACTCAATAATCAAGATGCCCCACAGACATGGCTACAGGCCAGTCCAATGGAGGCAATTCACAAATTGAGGTGACCTACTCAGGTGTGTCAAGTTAACAACTAAAGCTATCCAGCACAAGACCCTATCTCAAATTTTTTAGACTGGCTTGGTAGCACCTTTAATCCCAGGATCCAGAGGCAGAGGCAGCCTGGTCTACATAGCAAGTTCCATGACAGGGCTACAGGGAGACCCTGTCTCAAAAAACAGATATGTATATGTATTCATGTATACAGACATATATTTATGTATTTTTTTCTCTAACAATGTTTTTTTGCCTTTTTTTAGGAATGTAGTAAAAAAACAAAAACTGATGACCAAGAGAATGTGTCAGTTGATGCACCAAGTCCAGCCCAGGACAATGGAGAGGTAAGTAGACATTTCATTCTGTGACCCCTAAAGTGAGTGGAGGGCTGCCATGTGCTTCCTGTTTTTATCACCACATAGTTCATTTCTCTAAGAAAGCCTGAGGTGGGGCTGGAGAGATGGCTCAGCAGTTAAGAGCACTGACTGGTCTTGCAGAGGACCCAAGTTTGAGTCCCAGCACCCACAAGACGGCTATGAACCGTCCTTAACTCCAGTTCCAAGGGAGCTAATGCCCTCTTCAGATCTCTGAGGGCACTCCATGACATGAGTGTACTCACATACAGGCAATACACTCATACACATAAAACAAAAATAATAATTAAAATATTTGAAATAAAAAGAAAGCCTGAGGTTAGCAGGGTGTGGTGGCTCACACACCTTCACTCTGGAGGCTGAGGAGGCAGATCTCTGAGATCAAGGCCACCCTGGCCTGTGTAGCTAGTTTCAGAAGCTACAGGGAGGCTATCTCAAAAACCAAAAAGCCTGATATAAAAGTGAAGCATTAAGGGCCATGTATAGGACACCTCTACAATCTTCTGAAACATACCAGGCCAGGCGCTACATGCGGACCAGGGAAACTGTGGTGCAGTATTGAAACCTTACTCTATAAAATGGAGGGAGCTTTCATCTCTAACATGATAGGACTTTATAACTCAAACTTAATGATTCTTTAAGTTTGCTGTTTAAATGGCTGCTTCTGGGGCTGGAGAGATGGCTGAGTAGTTAGAGCCCTGGCTGCTCTTGCAGAGGACCCAATGTTCAATTCCTATCACCCACATGATGGCTAACAACTAACTCCAGTTCCAAGGGATCTGATACCCTCTTCTGACCTCCTCAGGCATTGCATAGCACAGGTGCACACTTTACATACATGGCAGCAATACACTCATACACTAAAAATAAAATATTTTTTAAAAAATAAATGACTGTGCTGGGCGTGGTGGCACACACCTTTAATCCCAGCACTCGGGAGGCAGAGGCAGGTGGATCTCTGTGAGTTCAAGGTCAGCCTG